TTCCGATGGGTTTTCTATCTCTTACAATTTTTCTTGACGCACAGGTTTCACTTTAGTGCCGCCGTGTTGACTAGCCCGTCAGATGTCTCAGACAGCGGCGTCGAGCGAGAATGAGACGCTAAAGAATGAAGGAGAGGAGTTCAATTGTGGTCACTGCAATCTCTCGTTGGTAGGGCAGCGGTACATTCTACAGGAGGAGCGGCCTTACTGTCTGGCCTGTTATGATACTAGCTTCAGCAATGTATGCGAAGTCTGCAAAGAGAAGATTAGCTGCGATGCAAAGGTAAGTCGAAGGACTAGCAATCTGAAATTTGTTTAGAAGTTGTTTGACCTTTTCTTGCAACTTGTTAGGAAGACTTAGAAGAACGCACCTAGTCCGGAGTCCATTGTATGCATAATCATTTCCAGAGTCGGACCGTGGACGGGGTGCATTCCCAGACGTTTCTCCGGCATCGTAGTCGGCATCGTCAGTGAACATTGCCAGTCTTAGCACCACACTACAACTCGTCAAAGGGACAAGTGAAGTCGATCATTTGACCAATTGTCTGTTAAATTGTTGTGGTATCTCTCCTTATGTCCTCGGGTATTCACCCATCCTATATCATCGTATCACCCTTCAATATCACAATTGCTCACTTATTTATCTAAACCTGTTCGAAACCTATTCACACTCCCCGCTGCTTTCCACATCCCCCCTCCCAGTTTAGTTCACAAGCCTCAAACCCTCAGGTCCTGTCATAGTCTCCCTCCTGCTCCGTAGAATCCATGTCTTATCTGCCTGTTTCAGTGATTTCATTCCATCGCTGACACCGTATTCGTGCTATAGAAGATGTCCTGTTCTACACTCTGCCCCAAGCCTTTGATAGCATGTACACGCCAGCCTCACTGAGCAAGCCTCTAAAGTCAAGCCTTTACCTCATGGATCACGTCTATGAGTAAACTTATCTACTAATAGCCAACTACAAATGGCCGCCACCGTTTATTTCGCTCTTACATCCCTAATGTCAATTCTATGACTTTGTCTTGTGCGCCGAACCCCTAATATGATGGTCCTACTTGATTTCAATATGCTCACTGTATACGTCTTCTCTTGGTTTCCTATTGTTCCTCTCTGGTCTGGTTGTAATTTATTTTTCTAAAATTAAAAGTATTACCTTTGTCCAGTCGTATTCTTTTTGCTGATATTGCTGTTCCCTGATTTACGAGTTTGCTTAGGCAGTATGAAAAGATTCCGCTAATCATGCCTTCTTCAAGTTCATTAAATTTATTTCAGTCAGGCTATCAATGGCTTCTCGTATCTTACGTTTTCTTGTATTTTCACCATATGCAGCCAGCCTTTTTGTCGATTTCCACTCGATTTCGTGTCCAGTCCATGCGATGTGTTCCGCTATTTCGGATCTTTCAGTGTCCATGGTTCTGCAGACTCTTTCGTGTTGTTTGATTGGTAGGTTAATTTTTATTCCTGTTTCCCCGATATACTTCTCCTCACAGTAGCCGCATTTGATGCTATAGACTCTTTAGCAATCAAGTTTGTCAACCTTCTCGTGTTGCATCGGTAGGATGGTGAAGATTGTCTTTTCTCTTGTTATTAGCCTGATATTCTATCGGTCGCGATTTTTGGCTCAGCTCAAAGGAGGTTGAGCATAGCCACTTTTAGTCGTTCTCCCGAATTCTGATCTTATTTTCATGAAATCCTAGTTGAAATCTGCTCTTTATGACCGTTTTCTTTCTTTCTATATATTCTCTGGGATAACCGTTACTAGAGCAAATCCTACTCAATTTTTCCAACCCATCGTTCCATAACTCAGTGTCCATTAGTCTTAAGCTTCTGATGATTATACTCCTTATTATTCCGATCTTTAGGCTGCAGTTGTGGTGAGACTGGAAATTGAGGATTATTCCCGAATTTAATTTCTTTCCGAATTATCTCAGCATCCAGGAAAGGTGGTCGCTCATCTTCCTCGACCTCCATTGTGAATTAAATTCGTTCATCAAGTTGGTACATCAAGTTAAAAATAAATTCAAATTTTTTTTCTACGCGACCAAGGTGCAAAGTAATCAACCAGGTTTTGCATAAACACTCTTTGCTGCAGCGGTGACTTCTCGAATTCCTTTTCCCATTTGTCCATTCATACATTTGCCAGAAGAGGTGAAAGTGGAGATCCTATGAATAGCACAGTGTACGATGAAGAAATCCAAGAGTCTATCCCATCAATGTAGGATGACAGCTGTCAGTTGGCTTTACCGTAACACTCTGATTAAGACTTTCCTCGAAGCAATAACCTTCGATTTTGGTGAAATAGTGCTAAAAAAATTTCTGTCAAATGGCGGACATCATTCTTAAAACCAATTGATGCCAAGGGGTCAAGAAAGCTCAACGCTTTATCCCCAAATGCAGTATCTCTGCTTTAAATACATGCATTTTTATTAAGCATAGAGTAATTTGGTTAGATCACGTCGCATGTCAATCAGGAAGCATAAGTGTGTGCTTGCATATGCTTGTGAATGTGAATTTGTGTATGGCTAAAGGTAAAGAACCGGCACTGTCAGATTCAAGTAATTAGCACACAGTTTAGTGTCTGTCCTTCTTCCTCAAGGTTTAACAACCCTGTTGTGCTCCTAAGAAGGGTGTGGACTATCTTTAAAATATAAAACGCTTTCCCTCTACAACTACAAAGATGGAGGCCCTGAAACGAAGAGAGAAAAGAAGCAAATAGCATTACCAATTGTGCTATTTTTAAACGGCCGAATACAGTATGGGGGAGCTAACAATAGAAAGACAATAAGGAAATATGGCGCCAAATAGAACATTCTAAATCCCGCGGGTCACGGCGGAAAGGAAAAAGAGAAGGAAAAGAACGTGACCTATTTAAACATAATGTTAGCTACTTGATATCCCCTTGCGTAGCTTTCCATGCTCACGTCTGATTGGGCGATGAGGTGCCAAGCCCTAATTTGGCACTCACGTGATCTCTGCTCCAAATGATGCTGAGCAATGGCTACATATGGGGTGTAACAAAAACTAAACATTGAATGGAAAAAGTGTGGGGATAGGTCACTACAACCCTATTTTAACCATCCATGCAATTGCAAAATGCCGGATACAAGTCTGGTTAGGTTGCCTAAACTTTTTGTACGATTAGATTTAGAAAGTGTGAACGCAATTAGGCGGCTTAGCTGTCTATCATTCCCTAAATCTATCGCTCAAGCATAGATATATTTATTGTTCGTATTGAAGTAGGGTTTCGAGACTACCAGATGAATTTATCCAATTTCCTTTAAGGTAGTAGAATTTTCCCACAATGATATGATTCCTTTATCACTAGTCCT